GAAAATGGGGTACATGAGGTTACAAGCCAAAGGAATGGCTGTTATTTAGCTTGGAAAATAGAATTATAAGAGGTGGCTTAATGATGAAGTGTATGAAACATTTGTCTAGAGAAAACAGTTTCTACCTGAACTCTTACTTCACCTCATTTTGGATTCCTTTAGCAGAAAGCTTCATTGTCTTACTGTCTCCCAGTACCATAAAACTTACACAAATGCACGCATACATCCCTCATGAGAGGCTCACTGGTAGACTGAAATATGGGCCATTTGCCTCAAATGAATTATCTTACACTTGGGCAGTTTATCTTTTCTATAACAAAGTGTAATTTAAAACTTTTCTGTAAAGCTTTCCTAGACAAAGCTTAGTTGACTAATTTTTTTCCCCAACCCTCCCCATGTGTAAATCTCATGTATGAATCTCTCCATGTTTTCCTCATGGGCCTCTTAAATAGACTGCTTATTTTTTAAAATATAGTATGGATAGTATATATAATAATGGTGTGTGTGTAGATATTACATAGTACTATTTATACATTAAATTCTTCAAGGAATTGTTCTGCACTGTGCTTCCTTGAGTGTTCCTTTGAGCTTGTCACTTCAGAAAGCTTCCCTGTCTGCTCTTTGCCTCCCATAGCGTCTTTCTTAGAACTTAGCTCAGGTGTAATTTTACCTCTGTTACTGGGATCTATTATTAGTCAAGTAATTTGAGCAGTCAGTTCAGACACACATACTACTTGACTAACAGTTGGGTTAGGTGGTAAATAAACTAGTTTCTATATTAGCTATACATGAAAAGACTGAGATTTAAGAATATTTTTGGGATTTAGTTGTGTGGGGCTATAAAGAGTGCCAATGGCAAGAAGAATCCACAGTGAACATTAAAAATATACACTAGATTTTGGTTACTTAGTTACCCTGGCTGTGTATGAAGGGTGTCCGTGGGAATTTTGGAAAACTTAGAAGAAAATTATGTAATAGAATAAACTTCGAATCACATTCTTAAATTTCAAAAAGAAAAGTGACATCCAAACTTATTTCTCTGGATTTTATTCTCATTTTTAGAGTTTAGAATACTTAAAGGAAATCGATTATTTTATCTTCCTTGCTACTTAAGAAGATCTATATATTGAAGTTGGCAGGATAATTTATGGTCTGATTAGAATTGGGCTCAGAAGAGACTGTGACCCTTGCTCACAGGATAATTTTTATTTCTTTAATTTCCATTTCAGTGCTATACATCTTTCCTGGAGCATTGTAACTATGAATCATGGAGGAAAATTAAATTGATTCTGTATTCTTCAACCCTACAATTTGGCAGTGAGAATATTTTTTTCCTAAAAAATGACTCATTTACAAAGAGACTTTCTGTGAACATGGAAAAGACTTTACTGTCAGAAGTCTTGCACATGGGGGTAGGGTGGATATTTGGATCTGCTAATTGCAAAATAGCAAAATCAGTGTTAGACAGTATTGATCAAAGATCATGTGAAAATGGCACTCCTACCGGAAAACACAGAAGTATGTGTATTAAGAAAAATAAAAACTCAGTAAGTTGCAAGGAAAGCTTATCTTTTTTCCTGTTTTGGGGCATTTTTCTTGTTTAAGTGTACCCTGCTATGAGTCAGCCAGTGTTTAGTTTTAGCACCTCTTGGAAATTGTTCTGTGTTGTAATATTCCTCCCTATTAACCTTTATTTTCCTGATTTTTAGTCCAAAATTTATTTTTTCTGAATTTCATCCAGTTTCTTCTGGTGATTAGCCCTGGGATCCCCCAGCTTGGATGTGGTTTTGGTTTTTCTTTATTTTGTGGCTAATCATGCTTCCCCTAGCTTCTAAAAAAATCTTTGAATTTCTATATACAACTAAGTTTTCAAGAATGCATCTCATTGTAAGTTTAAAAAAAAATCAACCTGGTTCTCATATTGTGAGAAACATTTATTTTTGCAGTTCTTCCAAAGACGAAACAAATATGGCCTTTGTAAAGCACACTGAAGCCTTGTTCACATATATGCCATTAGATCTATATGAATGTTGAAAAAGGGTTCAATCAAAATGATGATGACTGGATCTGCCATTCCTCATGTACTAATGGTGCCCATGAAGGCTACAGAATAACAATTTGCAAGAGAGTTCTCATGGTTGTACAAAAGTCATTGAATCTGAAGAAGATAAAAAGAAACTCACATATGAGTTCTTAGCATCTGACAGGCATTTTCACCTGTGACTCCCATTTGTTTCTTTTCAGAAGTGAAGTGGGCACTGTTATCCTGGTTTATGGTAAGAAACTGAGGCTTAGCTAGGCAAAGTCACTTAGCCAAAATTCCGTAGAAAGTAAAGGGAGGAGCAAAAATTCAGCCCAGGGTCTTCCAATTTCAAAATTCATTGTCTTTCCACTTTATTGAGTTGCCTCCCAGGATCACTCTGCCTGAGGTCACATTATGAGTCAGAGGTGAGCTGGGAACACAGTCTGGGGTATCTCCACATTGCTTTAATCCATTGAAATGTGATGTGTCCTCTCTAACAAATGGATTATATTAACTTCTTTGAAGAAAGGAACAGTTTTTGATCTTCTACAAAAGATTCGTTTTGTGAAAAAAGTAATAAAGCTGATATGACATTTGGCTTAACTTTTGAAAAATTGTGAAAAAGAACGATTCATTACAGTGAACTTTGCAGATGACCGGTCATTTTGGTAAATAGCCAATCTCTATGGTAACTTTCTTTTGAGGAATTAGATGAACATTCCTTTTCTTTGGGCACTCAGGATTCTAAGCAATTTAAAAGGGGCCTTGCAATATGTGCTTTGAAAGATTTCATTAATTATTCTAGAATCATAAGATAGGATCTACCATGAAGCATTTTCTGATAGAGGGTATTCCCATTGGCTCTGTCAACTTCCTATCTGTCTTTCTTTGGGCAAGTTACTTAATCTTATGTGATTAAGTAACTTCTCATCTGAAAATAGGGATAATCTAGACCCTACATTAGGGTGGTTGTGAGGGTTAAGTGAATTAATATATGTGAGGTACTTAATCTGGAACATGACAAATACTGTATAAATCATTGCTTTTATTGTTTCTCCCAATTATAACAGCCTGTTGTGTATCATGTCAGACTATCAAGAGAGTGCCTACAGGGTTTCAAAGGACCCAGCGTCATCCTAAGTGGTGGCAGTTATAAGTAACCTAATTCCATTTGGGCAATATCCTAGCAGTGACAGAGTTGAAATTTAATTCCAGACCTATCTGATTGCGAAGTGGGTGAAGAAAAGAGATTCAGTGGTTACTGGAGTCATAGAGATAAAAGGCTGAGCAAACTATGGTGACTTTGATCTTGAGAACAGGAACCACATGGCATGACTAAAAGCTTCAGTTTGCTACTGGTAGCAGCATAAACATAACCTGGTTCCTTGGGGAAAGAGATTGTTCTCACTTAGCGCAGTGTGGATGACTCAAAGGTAAATTCGTCCAAAGTTTGATTAACAAAAAGTTGCCGAATGCCCTGTTCAATGTTGGAAATATAGAAATGAATTGGACTGGGTTTCTCCTATCAAGGGGGCACCTAATCCCAGGACACAGAGGCAGTGGCTGCCCAGAGACATATGTTGGGTCTGAATACTGCCGGTGGTTTTGTAGGGCATGTGGTGTATGGAGAGGTTTGTTTTGAGACTCATTCACTGATGAAATGTTTAACATTTGTGCATGGACTCAGGAGAATTTGTGTGAGAAATCCTGGAGAAAGTGTAATGATACACTCTGTGAAGAACTGAATGGGATATGAAGGAAAACATCATAGTTGGTGCTGGAACTTATATAATCTATCATTTGGAGACTAACTGGGAACATTTTACAGAATAAGAAATACGAGTGCATGTAAAAGGAGAAAAACAATCTAGGACTGCTGTTGCAGAGACAACCATGATTATTGTTATTGGTGTTATTAGAGCTAGCAAAGAATAGTAAAAGGAGTATTTCAAAATGGGAGTGGGAAAGCAGGGAGTAGTGCTGTGTCTAAAATGACAGCTAAAAATGTGCTGACAAGCGAGTGGGTGAATACAAAAACCAGCCATAAATAGCCACATGGAAATTAAGCTTTTGGATTTAACAATGAAAATGTAATTGGAAACACTAACAAGATCTGTTTTATATGGCTGACAATAGAAAGCCCTATCCAAACAGTAAGATCTGAGATGGTGGCGGGGGGGAGGGGAATCTAAATAAGAGAGAGAAATATATTTGCAGGTGCCAGGTGGTCTAAGTCAACTTGACATTGACCCAGAGAAACCTAGACAAATGTTCTGGGCCTGCAAGTTTGTTTGGGAGTTTAATTGTCATATGCTGAGTGAAGAATGAATAGCTTGCTTTGTCTGAAGAAGCCGTGCTATTGTACCACAGGTCCACTGTCTGGAGGGATATGTAAGAAGCAGTGAAGTTGAAAGGGACCCTCGCTTCAGCAGACAGCTCAGCCTTGGGAGGTGGGGGAGACATGTCAAGCCATGCTCGTGGAGTTAACAGCAGCTGCTTTCCAAAATGAGCAGTCCCAAAGGCTGTTATAGACTTACCCTGAAGAATAACATTTATCAAGTTTTAATTTATTCCAGAGATTAACTCAAATGGCCATTAATCTGGTAGTTTAAAAATGGATTACATTAGTGTAATCCTCCAATCTTACATATTTTTCTCTTGACTATGTTGAATATGTTTCTATGTGCAAAACATTTTTTTAGGAGCTGCGAATATTGGCTCTGTATTTGCATCCCAGAGCCCTCCTTGTCACTGAAACATATCTGGATATTTTTATTAATATGGAGATATTTAAGACCTTTTCCTAAAGATCGAAGATATTAATTCCACATTCAGCATTTGAAACTTTGTTATTTTTGTTTCTTAAGCAGTAACCCAGTGAAGTCTTAAGTGTAAGACACTCAAGAGTGAATCCTGAAACGGATGACTGCTTTTTGTATGTTGAAATACTAATTATTTTGTGTTTGCTTTTCTTTAGGGATATCAGGGAGTCGCAGGATCACCAGGTGTCCCAGGATCTCCAGGAATACAAGTATGTGATTCATAGATACACACTAAAGAATCACCATTTCTAGTGAACCAAAAAAACATAATTAACAGATTTTTATTCTGTGCTTGATTTAGGGAGTTCCAGGACCACCAGGTTACAAAGGAGAACCAGGGAGAGATGGTGAAAAGGTAAATGCATACAAACAAAAATGTGTCCAGTTGGCTTTGGTTCACTCAAGGAAAACCAAGAATGTCACCTATGGTGAATCCCATTCAGTAGCATTCACCTTGGAGAATTCCAAGATTTGTGGGCTCATGGTTGGTGGTCACTGGCCAATAAAGCTCATAGCTGGGCTTTTATCACTAGATGAAATTGGTTGTCACTGGATGATCACCGTGACATGGAATAGGTATTGGCATTGCTCTGATGCCATGTTCTCTCCCTGTGGTTAAGCTCCGAGGGGGGTTACCTTCTTAGAGGGGAGAAAACTATGTGGATGAAATGTGTTCCTATTAGCCACAGGTAGCCCCATACCCACGTGTCCTTCTCCATAATGGATACCTATCTGGCAGGTGGTCTATCGGCTTAGTCTTACTGCGCTTTTTCCTTAGGGCTTCAGTGGGTACATTTACTGCTGACTCTCCTTTTTCACAACTTTGAGATTTGGCAAGCTTCCTATTGAAGTACATGATCTTTAAATATGTTCAATATATCAGTACCTCCCCAAGGATCCAGAGCCATCAAGATCTACTGGCCCTGGTAGCTGGTCCACATCCAAGATGCCCAACTGTGTTTGCTTGGATCCCACGTTGATTTGTTAGCTTAAAGCACAGTTGTGTTTGTAAGGTCTGTGAAGGCATTCTGGTATTTGCTCCTGATAAAAGCTTGTACTAATTTTCTAACTAATCCTTACTAAGTATTACCTTTTTAAAATAGTGTGCACCACATTCACATCTGAGAAATTCTGATCCTAACCTGTATCCATTTTAGGTTTTTGTGGTAGCTTATGTTGGTTGCAGAAAATTGTAGCTGGTTAAGTAATCTCTGGAAGGATGGATCTCTGGCAGATCTAATGATGTATCTGCCACTTTCAAGTTACTCGATCTTGGGTACGTTGCTTAATGTCTTTGAGTCTTATTTTTTTTCATCGACACAATGGTGATTCCTTCACAGGTTTCTTGTGAGGGAGTCTTTTTAGCCACAGAGAAATCTGCCTATTTTAAATGATGGAGATACCTCTTGAGAGGTGATAGGGAGCATGCTGCATGCGCAGGAATGGCAGACGTCTTATATTTTCATGCTGTGGGGATGTTGAGAGAGATTGCCTGACCTCTGCCAGGTGAACTGGGGATGTCCCTGGGAGCATGAGGGTATCTGTCCTGAGGAGACCACGTGTCAGACACCTCACCTAAATTCTAGTCTACGGTACCACTGCTCTTTTCTTTTTCTTTCTTTCTTTTGAAGATTTTATTTATTTATTGGAGAGAGAGAGTGCAGAGCAAGAAAGAGAGGAGAGGAGAGCATGAGCAGGGGGAGACACAGAGGAAGAGGGGGAAGCAGGCTCCCGCCCTGCACAGGGAGCCTGATGTGGGCATGCCAGGACCCTTGCATCTTGAGCCAAAGGCAGGTACTTAACTGACTGAGCCACCCAGGCACCCTGGATCACTGCTATTTCTTTAACATTCTCACTTAGCCTGATTTGGGGATGGCAGGGGTTTCATAAAAGTATGTGTATATGAGTGAATATATCTATGAATGGATGAATGAATGCATTTATCTATTTTTCCCTTTTACTTGGGTTTTAGAGACCAGTTAAAAAAAGGAGGGTTTTTATTCACCTTAAAAAGAATAAGAGTAAAGTGTCTCTTTGAAAGTAAAGGAATAACAGCAATTTGGTTAGTCACATCTTTAATTGCTCTCTTGTTTGGGGTCTTTGTACTCTCTTCAGAACAGAAGTGTCCGAGTTTTACAAAGGCATACATTTCGTTGAATAAAATAAAGTGTATGTTTCTATGAAGGTCTCTGTTTTCAGTCTAGTAATAGTTTCACCCAGAGTTGCTTGTTCTCTGAAATTTGTTCTTAGGGCATAAAGTCTGATCTGGCAGAGTCACTGTGAGCCCCAAATCACCATGCGCTGTGCCATCTACATTTCTTCCTCACATTCCATGTGGCTTTAGAGCGTTCCTTACCTGGATTGCAATCACTGAATAAGTTAGAGACGTTTCCTCAGTTCTTCCTCTAGGATATAGTTTCTTAATACTCAGAAATGGGAGGGTTGAAAAGTAGACCCCTGAGGAGACTTTGACTTGGGGCAGTGCAGGACATTTTTTCCAGGCATCACACAGTGGCCTCTCAGAGATAGTTCCACACAACGCTGTTCTCCATTAGGATCTTTTCCCAGAATCATTTCCATCTTGTGGATTTCTTCTGAACACTCCCATTGTAGGAGTTTCCACTTAAGATAATTGAAACTACATGCACTTTCTTGCTGACTTCAACATTTGTTCCTACATATCAGACAATAGAATGTGTATAGATTTTGCAGGTTTTTTTTTCCCCCTCCTGAATTTACAAAATTAAAAAGGAGCACTTATTCACCAAATGGTCTTCAGTTGGTAACTCATTTTATAATATGTTTTAAAGCTATTTGGAATTTAAGAAAAAGTATTTCAAAACACTTCTTCAGCTTTAAGGAAATCCATATATTTAAATCACTGGAAGAAATACATTTTGTTAAAATTTACTTAGGCTAAGTTGAATAACCGGCATACATTTATGGGTTTTTGAGTTGGTTATGAAAACTTTTTTATAGCAAATTCAATTCTCAACACATGGGAGGTAGTAATAATTTTTTTTTAGACTTTGTACAAATTTATCACTTGGTTTTTCTGGGATTAAGAAATAAAATACGCTAATATATCCAAGGTCTCATAATGGAGCAAACTACACATTTTGTTTAATTTCCTCGTTAGATCATTTACCATTTAAATTGTCCCTTCAAGATCTGTTTCCCATTGTCTTTGGCATCCATACAAGAGTATGATGTGATAAATGAGGCTTCCTCACTGAAGTAAATCCTTTACTTTCATTGTTGCACTTCTAAAGTCAAAAGGTTAAGTGGTATGACAGTGATTTATATAGTCAGTTATAATTAGGGGACTCCAGTGTACATGCTGAGAGAACAGTAATAAAGGACCAAGCTAAAAGTTTTATTAGGGAATATGCTAAAACTTAGTATATTAGTATTAACTTATATTATATATAACTATATATATTATATGTATTAGTATTAACATATATATAACATATATATTATATATATTAGTATTAACTTATATATAAAATTATATATATTATATATATTATTAACTTATTAGTATTAACTTATTAACTTATTAAACTTAGTATCAGTGGTTTTATTTCCATAGTGCCTGAAGACAAGAACAAACAAACAACAACAAAAAAAACAACCTTAAAAAATTAAAGCCAAGAATGACACGGGAGGAAGAAATAGAATTGGCTTGGTAAAGTGGCCACTTTTATCTTCTTTCTCAAAAAGGGAGGGTAATGTAGTTTTCTGATAACACCACGGCCCAAAGGCCCAAATGCTGGTGTGGGTGTGCTTGGAGTTGAAGGGGCACAAGAAAGGGAGACTTAATGAAGTTACAGGTTATTGGTTGGGCTTTGAATTCACCTTTTACTTATATCTTTATCCGTTCTCTAAATGTTGGAGTATTTCAGGGTTCAGTCAGTCCTATGACTTCTTTTCCTTCCTTAATAGAGTCTGTCTGTTATATTATTAAATATAAACTTACATGAGTATAAATTTATGTGTTAAATATATAAATATAAATATTGGTGTTAAGCTTATTAATATATTGAGGGGCACCTGGGTGGCTCAGTCTGTTAAGCATCGGACTCTTGGTTTGAGCTCAGGTCATGATCTCATGGTCATGTGATCGAGCCCCGCCTCAGCCCTATGTTGGCTCTGCACCTCCTCAGCACAGACTCTGCTTGGGATCCTTTCCCTCTGCTTCTCCTTCCACTTCTGCTGGCTCGCACATGCATGTGCACATGCTCTCTCTCTCTCACAAACAAATAAAATGCATCTTTAAAAATATTAGTATATTGATATAACCAGTTATAGTTAATAGAATAAAAATATTAAATACACACACATACATATACATTCTGTTTTCTGATGAAATATTTCGCTGCATTTGAATCTGAAGAAACTGTGGAATTTGTTGTTAAACCAGGAATTTTCAGAAGAACTTCTACTTTTTATGGAAGGGGTAGTACCACATTTTCCTTCTTTCCTCTACCCTTTTCTCAGAGGCTTTTCTTCCAAAGCAGCACTAATTGTGCCTTCCCTGAATAGTCTCTGAAGTCAAGTTTTGTTAAGTGTCTATTCTGTTCATGGAGTGCTGACCTGTGTGTACCCAAGTGCTTATTACTTCGGTGAGTACTTTCACAATGTCTTGATGTTTTTCTGATCTTTCAACTTCTTTTCTTTTAAGGCTCTGTAATGGATTCAGCATCTCAGCTTATGGAAAAGAATCATTAATTCCATGTCCTGTCTCATTTGTTGGCTGCTGTGCCTTTTTCTGTCCTGTTCTCTTTTTCTCTACTGGCATCACTGGGAAACTTAAAACTTTCATTGAATTTTTATAGAGTGCTTCATATTTTTTTGGTTCTAAATTCCACTTCTCATCTTCACTTTGGGTAGACTCTGTGGTCACTAAGAAGCTATGGGAGTGACCCTGTTGTGGAAGCTCAGGAATCTACCTGTTTTCTAGGCCTGAATAGCGCAGCGATGATCTCCAAACCCAAGGGGATTGCCCATCATTGCATTAAAGAGAGGAAACATTTTAGTAAATTGAAATAATTCCCAATAAGTCATTGCCTGAGCCTTAAAAGACTTATTTGTTTCAAAATGAGAGGAGAAAGAACAACCAAGATGTGTTAGGTGAATTTGAATTATAGAATCTTTGTAGTAAAAGTCTTCTAGGTGTGTATTTATTTTTTTCCATTTGATTTTCTTTTCAGTGTTCCAGCATTCATTGTTTATGCAGCACACCCAGTGCTCCATGCAATACATGCCCTCCATAGTACCCACCACCAGGCTTACCCAACCCCCACCTCCCCTCCAAAACCCCCAGTTTGCTTCTCAGAGATTTATTTATTT